GCGGAAGCCCTCCTCACAGCCGTATAAATAACCCACTCTCGCATAACTCAGACTCAAATAGCCTGTCATGTCATCTACTCGTCTGGCTGCACCAGATCCCCCTTTATGACAACACTGAGCGCGAGAACACAAGAGGCAAGAGACTTTACCGTGCTTTACTTCATCTCAGATTCTTACTCTACTAACCCATAGGACTGACACAGGGACAGTGAAATTAAAGGCTATGTTTGATTACACTATAAAGCAGGACCACACCACGGGGCCTATTCCAGGACTTAAACAGAGCTACCAGGTCTAAAGCATGTACACTGTACCTTATGAGTTGTGGCACTGAAGATAGGTCAGACTTATTTTCCTATATTATATAATATTCCTGTATTCTCCCAGCATACACCGCAAATGTATTCTAATTCTGTGATCTTAATTATATAAAGCTACGTAAAAGTGCTATTAATATTTTTATACAAGTGCCTCTTTCAGAAATGCAGTCTTTTCTCTTCATTACAAAGATCATATTCAACTCAAATAATTACTCTTTTGTGTTATTTTCTGGACTGCTCTCAAAGTGAGGGCATGATGATGACTAAGCCAGCTTTTATAGACATTTTTATGATATTATTTGGTGCAGTGAGTAATCTCAAAGATCATCAAAGTGGACCTATCATTTTCACCAGTGAATGAGTCGCCACATACGGACAATGCAGGATCACGGTTAGCCACAGGTGATAGAAACCTATACCTCCTCTGTACAAAGGAAAGATGTGTCATAAGATTCTAATTTCAAGCGTTTCAGGCAAATCAGTACGGATAGTAGTAGTACTTTAGACAGTCTAGGGAATAGAACTCCTTAGTACACTTATTGTTTAGATAGTATAATGAAGTTGTAACGCATTAGTCAGACAGGATAGAAAAGCTGGAACGTACACAGACAATAGATTCTCAACACAGGATCATGCACGCTATAGCTAAACAAAAGATCAACAGATATCAAAACACATCAAACATATAGTGTCCTCTTGCAACCAAGAATTTAACTCTGGCAGATTTAACTGAGATGCTGAAATCATGAATAAAACTCAAGCCAAGTTGACCTTGAACCAATTTGATAACCACTTTTACTGATAATTACAACTACACAAAAACAATACTGGTAAGTATATGGGCACTATATTTGTAGCAACTATCAATCTGCCAGTTTCTAAATGTCACCAACAATTATTAGCCACTAATGTGCACTGTTGTAATGTTTAATAAATACTTGTATAACAATTAGCCTTTACCAAATAAACCTGTACAGAACCAACTTGCTTTTTTGGATTATTTGGATTATTATTAAATTAGATACAACTCATACAACTGAACATTGTACACATAAAGGCATTGATCCCAAGTGGGGCATTCGTCAAACCATCACCATTAGGCTATCCTGAAAGTCCATGACCATGTCCTGTTCTGACCATGAACCAAGCTCAAGATCTGGAGAAGGGTCCACAGGTGCTACACTGTGGATACACTGCTCCAGACAAAATGCCCCACTGTCACTGAAGGATGGGTCAAATGTAGAAAACAATGTGTCCCTATGAAGAAAGGAAGTATTTTTATACAATCAATCACTAGAATCAAAACAGCCTATATTTCAATATATTAAACTCTTCATGTGTTACTTTTCCAATATCTTGCAAACCACCCTAACAATATGGCTGATAAAAAACAATATTTGTACCCCAGAATACTGTGAACATGTATACAATCAAAACTAACTCTGTATGTTTCACTGTCAGTATTCAGACTGATTTGTCATCATTTGCAGCAGTGATTGCACCACAGTGATATCACGTCTTACTGAGCGTAGTATTAATCACCAAATGCATTCCCAGCATTAGCTAACATCAGCACATCCGATTATTGACTGGGCCTTGGCAGGTGACTCTAGAGTAGCGTAAGCATTTTTTCATAGGGAAAGACCTCACTTGTTTGATTCACTAAATGGGTGTAGATATTTGAGGGAGTAGATCCAGGAATGCAGGGTCCTGGGGCAGGTTTTAGAGGGTGACAGTCTGTGCCTCTAACACTGAGGTCATCCTGCCGGAGCAGGCAGGCGTCAGGGGGGCGGTGGTGAGGGTAAACTGAGCAGCCAATGGTTAAATATGGAGCCAGTGATGGACACATTGTAAATAAGCAGCTAAAACTGTAAAAACAAATCAAATAAATAACATAACAAATTACATATTTTGTCAAAATAAGTATTAGCTGCTATTAACAGGGAAGCAACCATTGTAGCAGTTGACATTTGTAATTTAACTGTAAAACTATACAATCCATACAGCCATAGACACTCAAATTTATTTTACAAGTCACCTTTATCGATAGAACATTTTCCGCATTTGGCTCCTCCAACCACAACCAATCACACTAACATGGGCAAATGTTCACATTTTTTACAGCGCTTTTCCAACTTCAAGACACTCAAAGCACTTTAGATCAAGGAACCAGTCACCAATTCACATGCACACTCATACATCAGTGTATGCAGACACTGGGGGCGAAGAGGGTTAAGTGTATTGCCCAAGGACATGACAGTATACATCTGTGGGAGCTAGAATCACACTGCGACGAAACATGACTGCTCTAACAATGAGGTTTATGTCAAGAGCGGAATTCAAACCACCACCAAAAATCAAGGTGAGTAAAGTGTGTTGCTCAAGGAGTTGCAGTTTCAACAAGCATTGTAGTAGTGAAAATTGAGCTGCCAATCTCGTAGTTATGAGACAAACAAATGAACTAACTGAGCAATTTCAGTAATAATGTTCAGTATATGCCATCCCCTTCTAAATTAAAGTACTATCATTTATGAAAACCAGGAGACCAAGTGAGAATTGCAAACTCAGAAATGCAACTTGCTTTTTGCACACTTCAATATTTTACACTATATTTTTCAAACAAGATATTGATCAAGAATAGCCTACATAGTACATCATGTTAAGAATAAACAATTATAAAACTCTATATGACTAAAAGGTGTGTCTCATTCTCGCTGGTACATTTTAATAAAGCGCCCAGTATTTGCTTTGTCATTATAAGAGCGTCATTGGATGCATCTCCCTCTGTCCCCTCATAAATATTAAAGTCTGCAGTGAAGGTAAATCGAGGGCACTTCCTATTTGCAGGGAGTATTTACAAGCAGCACATCAGCGGCATCACTTATTTATGCCCTTTGGAGGATCAGGGACAGCCTAATGTATATTCTAGTCACACAACAGCTGATGTCAAACATTCACTTAGGCAAACATACAGTGACCAGACATAGCTACTGTTTTTGTCCAATGGTAGGCCTGTCAAGATAATTACTACTGTACATCAACTTATTTTAATATACGGTAGAAATAACTTTGCTCTATAACATAATATAGATACTAGAACTAGCTATTTATTTAATGTTGGCCACGTTTTTACAATATATAGTTGTTGACTTAAAGGTGCATTGTGTAACTTTTCTGATGGATGGGTGGATATTGCTTGGTCTGGAATGTTATTAAGCCTTTCTAGCTTCATGGAGACCAAACCATTCCAAATTACAGCTCAGATCAGTATAGAGGCAAACCCGCTCGCAGCCAGAATGTCTGTTTTTTCTAGGTATTTTTGAGCTATAAACCCACCTGTAATTAAATAAATGTAAGATAGAGCTCCCCCCCAACAAAAAGTTACATAGTGTACCTTCAATATAGACTTCACTGGGGCCTGTTTTAGGATTATTGTGTCTTATAAATTAGTATTATTGTTTATTGTGATATTTGTCTGTAGCAATATATATCACATATCAAATTTGGTATTGTGACAGGGATATCTACTACTATCTCAAACTGAATGTGGTGCAAGTAGTTGTTATTGAGCTCTGCCTTCCAAGGTGAAAGCTCTGTTTTTTATAATTGTGATAATAAATTACATACTATAAATTGTATGAAATACAGTACCACAGTATATGTAATGTAAATGTATATTTCTATATGTTTGGGGATGTGATGATAATATTATGAGAAATGTGCTAAATTTTACCTGTGAATGTAAAGTTTGAGGTTCAAGTCTTGCTCAAAACGTGAATGGACAGTAAATTAAATACAGAAGTATCACTTACCCTGATGGAAGATACTGCTTTCTGTTCTCTTTAATTGTAACCACACTTTTCATGCTCTCCTATTATTTTTAATATAAACAATATACTTGATATGTTAGCTTTCCATCTTTTAAAAAAAAGCAATATTATCACTTTTTCAATATATCTTGTTATCTCTCATGTCTATTTCATGTGAGCATATAGCATGTCTGGACATGGCACTATCAACCAACTAAAACAGATGCAAGATCTTATACCTTCCACTGGGTAAGATATTTATGTTATGTTATAATGAATAATGTTAATGTAAAATTGGGTACCAAAATGATATACTGGTCAATACTGGTCAACAAATAGTTTAAGAATGCTTAAGAATGTTTAAGAATGACTTTAACCAGAAAAGCATGTTGAGAATAAGGGTGTCACAACATAAAAGTTAAAAAAAAGTATAACATTTCACATATATTAAATCATATAATAATTACTCACATCATGGCCAAAATCAATCTGCATTAACTTTAATCTATCTACATAAATCTACATTAACTTTAAATTATGTTGTCAAGTAAAATCTATCACCTTTCACCAGAGTGTGACCAGTTTATAAAATCAAACTTTCTGAAGTCATTAAGTGAAGTTAACTTGACATAAACACTTAAAAAGCACTTTGACTTGAGGCTTACTGACTGTAAATTACAGTTTTTTCCCTTTTAAAATTCTCACAATGATTATTTTATAGCTCTTACTGATATTATGCTGAAACCAGCATAATCCAGATTACATCCTTCATTGAGAATAGCATCAGCAAAGTGAAATCAAGTCTATGACCCCAAGGTGTAAGTTAGGACACATGGGACTGTCCCAGTGCCGCAGTCATGCACTCACTCACCAGCTCTGCGGCTCCGGAGTGACCTGCTGATGGAGGGCCAGAGAAAACCCAAAAAATGTCCCTCTGTCTCCCAGTTTATGCAGTGTGTGGTCTGTATCCAAATTAAAGCTTTGCACTTGACTCAGCAGTGTCAAAAAGAAAATTATAGTCCACTTTGGAGATGAGACAGGTTGTCCCATTTGGGCTGCCATAGTAGGGGGTTAAATCAATGTGGTCCTTAGTGAGCAAGTTCACTCCAGTGTTTTAAAGAAATGAAAAATCCCAAAGCTCGTAATGATGTCCCAGATTTGTCCTCGTTGCGGGCTTCAGTAGCTAGGTCCGTGTGCTGCTGTCAGTCTGCAAAGCTTTACTGTGAGAAATGTGGTACAATGTGCATGTGCTCCAACCTACCCCCTCCTCCTCTAGTCTAAAAGCTGGAGAGAGAGAGGGAGACATAGGACAAGTGCTTTGAATAGGCAGCTCCGCCCCCCACCCCGGCAGCAACAGACCCCCCTCCTCTCTCTCTATTTCTCTCTTTCTTTCTCTCTCTCCCTCTCTCTCTGAGCCAGTCCCATCTCAGCTGACATCAACACTCAAGGGATGCATGCCAAAATACCAGCCGAGGTTGTCAAGATACTTCGGAGCTTTTTGAATAGAGACTAGAAAGGGATAAAGAGGGAAGAGACGCCATACTAACTTCTGTAAAATAACAGCACAAAAGCATAGTTAGCTTGGTGTAAATTCACGCCGGGAATTTGACCGTTTATTGAAGCTTGAGTAAAATTATGTTTTTTGAGCTTTCATGTTGTTTTCCACCATGTAGAGTCAAACTACTTGAATCCCTGCCTGGATAAAATTGCATTTAATAAACATATTTATTCCTTTTCTTTTACTTTTCTATTTTAATACTATTTTATGCACAGTCTTTTCACAATAAGATGTCATAATTATAGTAAAAATAATAGTAGTCTTTCTAATATTGAAGCCAATGTTTTTTTTTGTTTTGTTTGTTTTTTTTGACAAAATCTAAAACAACAGTGAAGCAATAGGTCTATTTCCTTTTTTTATTCTGACATTGTTGTACTATACTATGTAGCTATTAGAAAGGGAAACATTACAACAATAATCATTACACTGATTATTTAAGACTGTGTTGATGTGTGGGTTAGATCAGGTTCATGTTCTTGAGATAAAAAGAAAAAATGTGAGTATGTTTCCTACCTCCTCGGCGACAGTAGACTGGATGTGGCAGTGATCTGGAATGAATCCTGGAGACAAAGGATCCAAACGCACACAGTGACCCATGAAACTTTATTACTGACCTTTGGCGGCTCTGGAGATGGGACAGTGAGACTCTGAAAGAACAATGATAAAAAGAAAAGCATTCTGATATCAACTTCACACCACAGTTATGCATTTGCAATGAATGTACTAAAACAAGACTAAAGAAAAATTAATCCTTAGAAATGAACCAAGACTAAACTAGGTCTAAACGTGGATAAAAACACATGTAACCCTGGATAAAAAATGGTAATCTACAGTATAATTAACCTTTTGGTATCATGTACATCCTATTGTTTCTTCAATCGTTTCTAATTATTATTTTTATTAACCTTTGTCAGCCAGGTCAACAGGGGTGTAGTGCAAGTCACAATAATTATGGAGTATATAATGACAAAGAAAGTATTTGCCCTTCACGGATTTGTTTTTCACACAGTACAAACTATCAAACTATTTTGTTGTTTTGACTTCTGAAGTACTTACTGTCCTTGTTATATTTATGCTGTACCACTGAGGTTTCTCTTCATCATCATCATCATCATCTTGAACTGTCAAAATACCACAATGTGTTCAGTGTTCATGTCTCTGTCTCAGGCTACTTTAATTTACTTTTCATTTATTATTCATTTAAACACAACATTATACATTGCTGGAGTAGGTCTGTACCCCAAGGACATATCTAGGGTCTCATTGTATTCTCTCTTGATGTCTTTGGTTTGTATTTTGTGATTTCTGTGATTTTGTGGTTTCACCATGTTATACTTCCTGTTGACAAAAACATCTCTTCATTTAAAAAACACAAGTTTAAGTCAGTGCAGCTTCTTAATGTCCAGGACAGAAAACTCCAGTGTGTAAGAACAGGTGAAGTTTCTCACAGTCTTTAACGGACAACTTAACTGGTTTATTTGGCAAAACAGGGGCAGCTGCCACCTCAACTGTTAACAGCCATAAACCACACATACAGCAGGCCAACTCAAGTCAGAACAGAGTGCCAACAACTCCTCTCAAGCAAACAAATAATGATATGATATGATGATAGTTTTAGTTTTATTTGTTTGCACTTTATAAAACAAACAAAAGAAACAGTTTAACAGTACGTTTTACTCCTACTGCTGCCAGCAGAGGGCGCAAACACTAGTCTAAGCTTCCAAAATTTTACCCAAATTCTCAACACAATATTTATTCCTATAAAACATAATTACTGAGATCATAGCAGCGGATTATAATTTTGTAAGCAGATCTTGGATTAAAAAATTGACACTACAATATAAGGATTAAAAGATTAGTGTCAGAAACTACCAGTCTCAATGGCTAAAAAGCTACTATATTCCTCTCATGTGATCAGCACTGGACATGTGAAGAGCTGCTTAATGCAGACTCTTAAAGGGATATAAAAGAAAATCATCACAAATGTACTTAATAGGTACACTTTATTGCCATAGATATCTTAAAGGTGCATGTGTGTGTGTAACTTTTCTGGTGGAGGGTCCATCAAATGCTCAAATGTTATTGCTTCATTTGGAATGTTTCTATCTTCAGTGAGACCAAAGAGAACAAGTTACAGGTCAGAGTGGATGTTTTTCTAATTACCTGGTCCCCGAAGGGTTGACCAGGTTTTGTATTCACCCTGTGTGTCTATGCGTGTGTGTGTGTCTGTCCACCCACAATAATTCCACCATTTATGGATGGATTGTCACCAAATTTGCTACGTGGGTACGTCAAGTCCCTGTGCCTGATGCGGCAAAAAACGTTTGGTGACGATCCAAGGTTATTTGAGGTCACACGGATCAATTGAATGGTCACGCCATTATAATGGATAGGCCATTCCGTCAATTTCTGAACCATCTGCGGCCTAAAATATTCACCCAATCATCACACAAGTTGACACACACATAACCGGGGTACACTGGATGTTACAAGTTGAAACCGGTCAAGGTCACTTGAAGGTCAAGGTAACCAAGTTCAAATATGTGTTTTTGGTCATAACTCAACTTAGGATCGAGTTAGAGCAATGGCAGTGATGTCAAAATCTCTAGACACATTGCACTGTGGATATAACGATCATGTAATCCTCCTCATAAACTGCTTCTGTGGTGATGAACTGCCCCCACCGATGCCTCATGGGGGACCAGGTTGCTATCGCTGACTGCGCTTGTTATTTTTGAGCTATAAAACTGTAATTGGATAAATGTAAGGTAGATCTGTTTAATGTCATACTGTGGAACATTCCAGGCAAAGCAATGACATATCCATAGAAAGCAAGCAGGTGACAGAACCCCGAAAAAAAAGTTTCATAGTGCACCTTTAAAATAACTTATGAACACATCTGCACACATTTATATCATGTGTATTGTTGTGTGTATTTGTCTGTCCTTGTAAAAGCACTGTAAGTGAATGAATAAAAGACATTACTAAAACTTGCATATTGCTTTGAAACAATCTGAAACATTACACTAGTTAAATTCCATTTTTTAAGATTTACAATACACAGGCAGACGGTTTTCCCCATTTCTGCTAAACTCACACCTGTTTGTCTTAATAAAAGTCACATTTGTGCAGCTCCTAGAGGAAACACTGTGGCATTGCACTGTTTAAGCTACAAAAATGGCAAGAAAACAAAATATGGCTTCAAATTGGATTACTATTTATCCTTGTCAACTTTTACACTGAGACTCTACAATCAGAAACATGTATTTTCTTGATTTAGCAAACACCATGAACCAATTACTCCTCATCTGAAAAAGCAACTCTATGGAACTCTTTGAAGTACAACATGAAGCAATGCAGATGTCCAGATGAATGTGACTGTCTGATATGAATGATAGTGGAAAACTCTTTATCTATAATCCCAGAAACAGCAGGTCTAAAAATAAAACTAAACAAACAAGGATGGCATGTGCTGCAAAGTTAGGCCTGTTTTCTTATAACCTCACAAGAAAATATGAAAGCTAACCTCATGCCAAGTTTATAAATTGAGCTACAATATTATTAGGGGTGGGAAGATATCTTGAAAATTTATAACACCACAATTGCTGTTTCGGAGATATGCAAAATTAGAATATAGTGTGCATCATCTATAAATAAAATAGGAGGGAAAAAACAGGTACAAAGTGATATTGGATTGGTCAAATAATAAAATTTTGGTGAGTGGTGTGATTATAACTTTGCCAAGACAACGGAAAGTCTGACAAGCCAAGCAAAATAAATATCCATGCACAGCAGCCAACTTCAAAATTAAGCCATCGCAAAGCATTTAAAGGTGCATTGAGTAACTTTTTGGTTCGGGGTTCATCACCTGCTTGTTTCGATGGATATGCCATTGCTCTTCCTGGAATGTTCCACAGCATGACATTAATCAGACCTATCTTACATTTATTAAATTACTGGTGGATTTATAGCACAAAAATACATAGAAAAACAGTGAGCGGGGTTGCCTCTCCACAGGTCTGACCTATAACTTGGTCTAGTTCGGTCTCCATGAATAGAAAGTTTTAATATCTCTGTGAAACATTCCGGACAAAGCAATAACATCTCCGTGAAGAATTGAGCATTTGATGGATTCTCCACCAGAAAAATTACACAATGCACCTTTGAAATACTATATAGCAGGGGTCTCCAACCTTTTTCCTCCGGTGAGCTACTTTTATAAAACAAAAATGACAGAGAGCTACTAGTTTTACCAGTCACAAGAAACTGAGCATATATAAGAGCCAAGGTAAACTCTAGTTGAGGTACAGTTAGATGCCTATAAAACAAACTGTTATTCATGCATTAGTGTAGAAAGTTAGGCATCAATATGATACACGTACAATGGTAAAAGGCATTTAATTAATACAATTTTAATTATTCAGCACTGGCGAGCTACTTGGAAGGGGGTGGAGAGCTACCAGTAGCTCCTGGGCTACAGGTTGGAGAGCCCTGCTATATAATCTGTAGCTATGGATTTTATTTTGAGGAGAAAATAGATGTAAGAAAGGTATCCAAGGTGGCTAGAATACATCTTACCTGCATTTCACTCTCAAGGCCAATACATGAATGCCTTGTACAAAGCCATCACTAATAAAATAAATAAAAGCTGGACATTTTTTATTTATTCATTTTTTCGTTTGGTTTAATGATTTTCAGCGGCGGCGGCAGCCATGACAGTGAGGTCCTTAAGGGAGATCTCTCATTAGCAGCCTGAGCCACGTTTCAAGGATACAGGCTATTTTAAACCTGCAGTCTTCATATGGAGAGGGTCATATCTGCTTTCAGCGTACACCTCCACGGCCTCAGATCGCTGCCTCAGCACTAATACTGTATTGATTAATGGATTGGACTAAAGAGAGAGTGCTCCTGGTTATTATGGGATTAAATGGGAGCATGGTACAGGACATAAGGTAAGAGAGAGAGGAAGTATGGGTGATTGAAAATGACAAGATGCTACAATATTATTAAAGGGCTTGGAAAGTATTAGACATTTATGACAGTGGCACTGAAAAATAAGCAGTACAAAAACAACATATGTTTCTGTAATGTATCTGTCTGGGATGACTTCTTCATACATTGTTTTTACTTTGTCATTTGTTGTTATCACTCGTGAAAATCATGGAAGTCAAGGAACTATCTTGCAAATGGACTTAAAACTCCAAGATACTCTGACGCAGATCTTTGCATTAAGTCAATAATTTTATTCTAAGCATTTGTTCTTTTAGTCAGTGTTGGCCACTTTCTCGAAATAACAGAATGCTTATAATTCCACAGACCCTAACGTGATTTCAGACAACTGTAGGTCAACAATATAATCTAATACACTGGTAGGCAGCTAAAATATTTATGGTCAGGACTATGGTTAAACATCTGTGAATTAAAAAAAAAAAGAAGCAGAGGTGAGTGATACAGTACATTGAAAAAAGTTAGATATTGTCTTACAAATTAATAAAAATAAGTGAGCAAATGAGTAGATAAAAAAAAAGTTAATTGAACTTTTAGATATTATATACTTATTTTCTAATAACGAATGAAATGTAATCAATAGGAGAAATTTAAAAAAATGACCCATTCTTAAATCTGAAAATGAGCGTTTATAATAAAGAGTCAAATTGAATCGAATTTTCCCTACAAAAACAGAAATGTATTGCATGAAATATTAGGGGAATACAATACACTGAGGGGTTTCAACTACTTTATACACTTATCTTCTTCAAAGTGGAAAGCATAAGATACAACTGAAGGACAAATAGTTTAGATTTTTACTGAGCAGTGACATTTCCCACAATGAACTTGTTTAGGTTTGTGAGGATCACTGGATACCAACAACCAAATGCATAAAGGAAATAATGATTGTATGATTAAATTACAATTACAGACTATTTTGGTAAGTCTAGGGACATACCCTAACAAAAGTGAGAAAGGTGTAAAACTATTATTTTGCTGTAATAGAAGTATAAAGTAGGACCACATGTTACAAACACAAAAATGTTTTATTTTTATTAACACTTATTCAACAGTAGCAATAACACCCAGTACAAACCATTTTGAGTGTAAAAAAATATATATAGAAGAATAGCAACATCTAGTGGTAGTGCTTAAAATGGCACTTGTTTAAATGTGACCCAGTGTTTCTCAAGGACTTTGGTAAAGTTGGCTTCATAAAACCCCCTTAACTTAAAAAATAAAGGTTTAAACATGGGCTAAAACCAATCTTAACATTTCTGAGAAACACAGAGGGGTCTACTACGAAGCGTTGGACATAGTCAGGCTTTAACTAGAGTGAGCAGGCTTTTCAACCTCAGCTAAGAGATGACGAGTCTCATGAAGCCGGTTAGAGACTGATTCTGTAAAGCCAGTTTTGAGCTCAATCTGCACTCACAAGGAAAGGGGTGTGTGCTGTGTCATGTGACCAGTTTTATGCAAAGAAAGAAAGGGCCATCTGCTTAACAGCTGATCTTAAAATATTATTATAAGTGCTGCTGATAACAAACAAAATAGATCTCTGTAAATTGATTGTGAATGTAGATTGAGCAAAGTGGGGGTTTTCTCAGGCCACGAGAGAATGAATAGCGTGATCCCGGCAATGGAATATAAAACTTAACACACTCAAACTACAACACTGATCAATAATATATGCATAAAGACTATTGATTTAACCCATCTTAGCCAACGATCTAGCTTCGTAGTACATCCCTTTGGCATAAACATAGTGGAATTATAGCATTAAAATCTGTGGTATAGGCAGTGTACATTAAAAGGTGAACTTGGCTCATCTGTGGTCATATTTGGGAAGACAATATTCAGGGTTATGAGGCTGTTGTGAGTTTTGGCCCAGTGAAGGAGGGTTGGGGTACAGTGGTGGTCTTTGAGAAATGTCCAAAGGATAAAGCCCAGGAGAAGCTGCAAGATAAAAATAACAACACAATTACGATGCATTAACACAATCATACAAGACAGTATATCGAAATAAAAGGGATACAGGCAGAAGGGGTGTTCACAGAATCATATGAGTTTGTACAAGTGAGTGCATAAGTAAGTGTAATGCCTTTGAAGAAACTGTATTTCTGAGAGCAGTTTTTGCGCCTCATACTTTAATGTTATTAAGGCAGCACCATTTGGCTAAATTTATGGATAGTCTTCCCACTATGAGTAATGCCATAAGTGACAAAAAAGTATGTCTGGATATGTGTCTTGAACTTTACTATATGTTATTCACTCATCTAATTAATACTGGCAGTTAAAACAATACAATTTGTATATAATTTTACACTGTTTGCCTACAGCAGTACTTAAGTATTATTTTCTTTTCTATATGATATGGAGAATTCTTACCTGTACTTCTAACTTAATTGTATGTATAAATGATACTACACTGTGCAACATCACAGTGATTGTTTAGAAGTGACACCTGAAAAGAAGAAGAAGAAATGGCCATAGAGAACTCACTAGCTTCCTGGTACGATGGTGGTGGTGTAGTGGGTAATGGCGGGCCAATGTTAGGAGGTGACACAGGAGCAGAATAGTAGTTTGGTAAAGACAGCTGATATCCTTCAGGAGGCACTGGAGCAGGGACATATATAACGTTCACCCCATCTGAAAAACATACATTAGATTAGAGATGACAGATACATTTTAGATATGTATAATTTGAATATTGAGAATATCGCTTATCATCAAATAAAAACTTTAAATGTGTGTAATCTTCCAAATAAGAATTCAAATCTGCTCTTTTAGGTGTTGAGGTTTACATCTTCATTAACAATAAGTGCAACTACTGAGTTATTTACAGGCAAGTGCATTATCAATCATCCCTACATTAGAGATTAGATTAAAAATACATTTAAAGCTAAACTAACTAACTAAAATGGCAGCATAGTAGCTGACTAGCACTCTTGCCTCACAGCAAGATGGTCCAAGAGGACTGTGTGAGGGCTTTCTGTGTGGAGTTTGTATATTCTCCCCATGTCAGGGTGGATTTCCCCTATTAACACAAAACTTCTCTAGCCAAGGTGGTACCTGGAGCGTACCACTATGACATCCCAGAAGCATAGAATCAAATGCAGAGTCATAATTTCCCTACAGGAATCAAAAGAGTAAATGAACATAAAATGTGGCAATTGGTTTACTAGTGTGCGTTGTAGTGATAGTAATACTGATGGTAATGATGTGCGTAGAATTTAATTACTGCATCTCAATCACTGAAATATGGATTCAAGAACCTGAAAATGTCCCATAAATAATGACAAAGACATCTTTCCTACTTTGAGGTCGACGTCTCCGACACCTCTTGTGGCACCAGCAGCACAGAGACACACAGCCGCTGATGACTCCCACACACAAAACAATCTGGAAAATGGAGCCACAAACTGCACCAATCAAAGCGTAGTCTGACATGGTCATTGAGCCACTCCAACTGCAAGATGAGAATTAACAAAACATGTATTAGGGTCAAAAATTAAAAGGTAACCTTGTAATTATAGGGCTTCTAAGTTGTTACATCATAATTCTATTTCCGGGTCCAAGCCGCAGCCGTGCGGAATTTGACCCGACTGATATACATGTAAAAATGCTGTAGGGTTGTGTACCCCGCTGGTTTGAACAGATCAGAAACCAATTGGACTTGTAAGTCTGACGTCACATACGACTTCCGGGTCCAACAAAACATTAGTTCAAAATGACAGAACCAGTGAACATTGTCACCATCACCTCCTTTTTAGTGAGGTTCCAACTAGAGCATGGAAACCCGACGGAAGTCCGATGTGACCAGTCGGAACCCGATGGGTTCGGACGGTTTCGGACAAATATTTAGAACTTATGTTTGGGCTCTGGTTGGACTAGGACACATCAGCGCTTCAGCTGTTTTCTGTCTACAGTTAAACCTTTGAGACTCTTAATCAGAGCACTGCACTTCTAGTTTAGATACAAGTCAAAACTGTGTTAGTATAATTTATGAAATATCGCGCAAAACTTCAGATACATGATTTTTAAGATTAGAGATAAAGTCCACAGGAAGTAGAGTCGCTATCGCTAATCTGCAGCTTCACCTCAATCCGCGCACTGTGTGGATGTAAACAGATACACGTGGGGGACTACTTTCACCTTTTTACTTTTAAAAAAATTACGCAAACTGGATTAATAGAGTGGTTTTGTGGACTGGGGCCATTATTTGAGGAGGACAAAATAAATATGGATGAGACGCTGCAGCTTAAACTGACCACTTGACAGATGTGAGCAGGCTCGCCATTTTTATTGGTTTCAGATCTGTTCAAACAGCGGGGTACACAACACAGCAGCATTTTTACATGTAGATCAACCGGGGCTTTTATTGTGAAAGCCGCACGTGATTGGTCAAGATGTGTGGCGGCATATGCGTGTTCACTGAGCAGAACGGAAAAGAGAGGGGGTTACACACACACAGCGGTGAGCACACAAACGACACGTTTGTATAATTGAGATTTTTTTTTTAATCATTTTTTATACTTTATAATTCATTTTGTAGGTTCAAGGTTGAGTGTGTTCGGAAAATAAAGCCATATAAAGGAAAAACATATGACGTCACGTATGTTTTTACACAATAATAATTCATTTTCATTTACACACAGTTTTTCATTATTTTTGGTGATAAATTAATTTAAGAAGCAGAAAATCTGAGGAGCAATTTGGGAGCTGGGCTCTCCAAAAAGAGCCGAAATTTCAAATCCGACCTGAGCCTGACAAGCATTAAGATATTTATGTCCATACCCGACACAATTAAAATCACACTAGTTTCATAGGCCTACTAATGACACACGTAGGACACTGTTTGTGTGGCCTCTAACGCTTAGGTCCTCAACCCCTGGGCTGGGGACTGGTATTGGGCCGTGGGTCGTTTGGTACCAGGCTCCGAAAGCATGAACCCCCCTCCTATACACTGCGTGGAGAGTGACTTGAGGGCCATGTCTCTAAAGCAGAGCTAAAGCTTGATTCCGCACCAAATGCCAAACTCTAGTGCTGTCCCTCTGGTTTGAACGCAAACTTGGGTCCAAACCATAGACAGTAGCTTCAAACGAACTATTCGAATTGCATCATGGGAGGGGATACACATCTCCTCTGCCTGAAATGACGCACTATACGCCTTGGGCTTCTCCAGTGCAATAACAGCTTGTTCTCCAGATACTCCATCCATCCATCCATCAATTTTTTTCCGCTTATCCGGGGACGGTTCGCAGGGGCAGCAGTCTAAGCAGGGACTCCCAGACTTCCTTTATCCCAGACACATTCTCCAGCTCCTCTGGGGGGACCCCAAGGCGTTCCCAGGCCAGCTGAGAGACATAGTCCCTATTTGGTCTTCCCCGGGGCCTCCTTCCGGTGGGACATGCCCGGAACACCTCGCGAGGAAGGCGCCCAGGGGGCATCCAGAACAGGATGCCCGAGCCACCTCAGCTGGCTCCTCTCGAAATGGAGGATCAGCGGCTCTACTTCGAGCTCCCCCTATGTGACTGAGCTCCTCACCCTATCTCTAAGGGAGCGCCCAGCCACCCTGCGGCGAAAACTAATTTCGACCGCTTGTATCCACGATCTCGTCCTTTCGGGGCCAGCCATGACTCATTTTCGAATTATTTTGCCAACAATGGCCAATACAGAGAATGTAATATACAAAAATCAGAGCAAGTACCAGTGTGCGAACGTGTTGCTCCATAGTGAATCAAGATTGGCATACCTATGTTCCCTGGGCACAGATGACCTGGCAGTGAATGCGCCCGTGTCTTTACCACTGTTACCCGAACTCAGTGCTTCTTCTCCGGGCTGATGTGCGGTGAGTGAGGCTACACGCTGCTATTTTATGAGTTCATGATGATAACCTGAGATGAGGACGGCCCACGGTGTTAACGGGAAAACATCAGTACCTTTCATAATTGGAGGTATATTGATGTTTACCAGGGGAACAGGCCGATATGCCCAAGTCCGACCCGAGCCTGAATATAAGTTCTAAATATTTGTTTCCATGCTCTAGTTGGAACCTCACTAAAAAAAGGACATGATGGTGAAAATGTTCACTGGTTCTGACATTCTGAATTTTGATTGCTATTTTAATAGATCCATGGTTTGAACAATTGTTTTGTTGGAAGTTGTGGTGATGTCAAACTTACAAGCCGAATAGTTTAAAAAGGTTAAAGCAAAAACACCCAAAAACTTTGTATGTGGGCAGAGGCTACATTTTAAAGCCTATATCTACTATTATACTTCCTGTTTTACTTAGTTCAGGGGTGTCAAACATATGGCCCAGGGGCCGGATCCAGCCCTCCAAAACCTTTAATGTGGATCTCAGCTGATTTTCTACTAAAATATTTTAATTATATTTTCTATTAAAATATTGGTAATTTTCTGCGCCGCTTAGCATAGCAGCGTCTCCAGTGCCTCTGTGCGTGGCCCCTCCCACCAGAGCAGCACAAATGAAGACTTGTCTCTTTCCAAATGCTCTTAAAGGATGATCGTTTTGACTGTTGACCATGACACCCTCATCAGCAAAATGTCAAAAATGAGAAAAGTGGACGCCGAGTGCAGGATTTTCCAAGAAAAACGGACTTATTCCTGTTTGCATACAAGTTCATGTTAAAACATTGTGTTGAAATTGCATTTTTCTTAAAGTTTCAGGTTGTTCATAATATTATAATATTTTTTAAAAGAAAGAGTTCATGACTTCATCAATTTAAAAAGATTTCTGTAATAGCTTTGGGTTTCTCTGCACAAATATTTGAACTTGCTATTTTTGGGCTTTATATGCCATGAGTTTTCTGATCTGGCCCCTTTGGGATCAAAGCAGGTTGGATACGGCCCCCGGACCAAAATGAATTTGACATCCCTGACTTAGTTGATCACGACCTTTAAGTAGGCCTGATTAGTACAGCTGGAATACCAGGTGTCACAGTGCAGTGACTTAGCACCACTCTTGTGGACCACTAACTGTTTTTGTGTCCTTAGGCAAGACACTTCACCCATCTATCCCAGAATGAATGCGATTTCTAAGTGAGTGGTGTCATAGCAAGGGAAGACAGCAAAGATTAGCAGCCTCACTTTCATAGTCTACCCCTGGGCAGCTGTGGCTACAATAGTAATACCACCATCAAGTATAGAATGATGTATATATGAACACGTGTAAAGTAACTTATCATTATTATCAAGCTAAAGAATATAAATCTACAGCCGTCTAAACATAAGAAACCCAAGAAAACCATGAACCTAAGCAGGATGTCGACCATTTACGTCAGTTCTAGCTCTGGTCTCCCACTTGTGACGGTAATACATGCGTAATATGCAAACACTTCACATTACTCTAAATTAACTCTCAGTGTGCTGGGTACCACATTGTAGAGCAAGACAACGTTATAATATTAGATTACACATTGTACGGGAAGGCTTTTTCATATTCGTTTAGAGCTAAACATACGCATGTTTACCTTTTAGCGGTCTGTCAATTTGAAAGCGTTTATATTAACCTAGTCCTACATAAGTCTACTTTAACTTTACCAAATCTTATTGTGGCTCATTGTATAGTTTAAACTACTTACCAGTTCGTCGGATATTCTCAAGACCACGTTAAAGTTCGGGGGGACTTCCTGTAAATCTGCTGCTTTTACTTTCCCTTCTGTTGCGGTAAAAACGAGCCCTCTTCACAGTCAGACGAAGCTCCACCCCGGGCTGGTTCAGACACGTCCCGCCATGGAAGAGCTGGTTCTTTCAGACTAATCTTCACAATCTTATGCGGGCTATTGTTTTCTGTAGATCTCCTCCACCTCTCATCTCCACTCCCTGTACATGCCTTACAATTACAGTGTACGGCGCGTTTTTGGTGTTTTAATTTAAAAAACAAAAAACAAAAAAAAAAAAACTGATAGGCTAAATAATATTACTAGCAAGTTATATCACTTTTTTTTTCTTTAAAGAAAATTTCTAAAATAGCTGCATTTGACTTTAGCATTAACAATATAATGCATATGATAATAGAATAATTCGCTTAGCCAACTTAGCTAGTTCGTGAGATCCATGTGTGAAGTAGGCAATGTAAATAAAAGTCTTAAAGGTTCATTTAAAATAAGGCATTGCATTTAATAGTTTCGTTTAATACTGGACTAAAATGTAGTTTATTATTATTACCTGTATTTTCGTAATTTTGTAGTCCACCCCTCAGTAGCTTTGCCATGTGCGTCCTATTCGCATCTTAGCACTATATTAGCATCTTAGCACTATATAAACTTAATTAAATTTCCTTTGACAACATGAAGGGGGCGCAACAAAATCTGAAATTACTACTCATAAAAATTCACAGCCAATAAATAAAATTGCAATAACTTTATACATTTATCTTCTTCAGAATGGAAAACATTGAAAGATACAACAACCATGAAGGACATTTTGGATACTGGATACCAACAAGCAAATGCATATAGGAAACAATTATTGTATGATTCAATTAAAAATACATTTACAGACTATTTTGGTTAATATTGGGACATACTCTAACAAAAGTGACAAAGGTGTAAAACAATGATTTTGCTGGTATAGAAGTAAAAAATATTGATATGTTTTATTTACAGAGAAATTAAGGCAAGCAGCAGAATACTGAAGAGCTGTAACAAGCATAGTTGAGGTGACAGGTTTTTCAACAGGTGTGAATGATAAAAAAAATAACTCTTGTAAAACACAAACACGGCAAACAAAAGTTGAGAAATAGTCTGAAAAACATTTGTGGAAATCAGAATCGTGGTTTGAATAGTTTTGAATAAATAGCTTTACATAGATGGATCATTTCTGCAGTTTTTTTCAAGGTTAAAGCAAAAGTCTGAGGAAAACATCAATCACAAATACCACAAAATACCATAAACCAGTCAAAACTACTCAAATCAGGATTATAGAATGTTCTGAATTCAAGTCATATTAACTATTGTGATATATTATTTCTGCAATGTAGTCAATGCTATAACTGCATGTTTTGGTCAATGAAAAAGAAGGCACAGGTGTTTTGTTGCATTTTTGACTAAACAATCATGAATCAATCATGAAAAAGTTTTGAGTACAGCCTTGGTTGCGTTCATGTGATGATGTACAACTGGATTTTCTAAAATGCAACGTGAACAGATGGAGGGCATGAGACCTTTGTGGATCAAACACATGGTACTTTTAAGAAAAAATATCTAGGAAAATCTATCAGCACTGAACACCGCCTATTAACTTGTAACCAGTACTTGCTTATTAACAATAATCCTACTTGCCTCTGTCTCATTTACAGAATGATGTAATGTTATCTGAAACAACATTCTATTAGGACTTAAGCCCCTAGTTTAACATGGAGATGGAGGGCACGCAAGAACTTGTAGAATTTACCGTCTTTCATTGTCAATTATTCAGATATTTGAACAATATAATTCCTGAGCCTATGCATAAACAAATTAATCTGGCACAATGTTCAGTGTCTTTAGTTTTGTATTTCCAAGTAACATAAACCTCAAAATGTAATATTATTTCAACACACAGCTGTGGCATTAATCAGTAGATACAACTTTAAACCCCAAGATTAATACAGCAAATCTGTGGATCCAATTTCAATTTTTATTTTTTTATTTTTTCTAAATTGTGTCCCACTCAAGCTATATTGGTCCCTATCCTAGCTTTGATATTTTTAAACTTCTAAATATGAACGCAACCCCTAAACATAAAATGAACTTTGGTTTTATCATTCAACACTGCAGATGTGATAAACGATACATACAATGACAGTTTCTCACAACAGCTAAATAATAAAAACCTGAGCAAGTGGTAAAGAAGTATCCCATTTTTACCATTTTTAACAATTTGATAACTGACATCAGTGATGGTTTGACTGGTTGCATATTATTCAATCAACAATAACAAATCCCTTTTAAAACAATTTAGGCCAAAGCTTTGACTACAATCATTTTCTCTACAACTGAGGAACTTATAAATTATTTTCTATAGAATATACACATTTACATTTAAAATAAACAAAATTTGAATAATCAAAATTTTAAATGAACTATCTTTAGACTGTAATGTGAATATGGAATAGTTAAGGCCACATTTCAAAGTTGAACCACAGAAATTGAAGAGAACTCACAAGGAATGCAATACAGTAGAGCAGCATATTGGTCAATGTAAGTTTTGAAAGAAACAAAATATAAAACTAAACTCTTAAAATAGTGGTACTTAAAAATGGTCAGTATGAAGCAAGTTCTGTATAATCAGAAAATGAATTAGTTTCTTTTTACCGTATATCATAATAAACCTTTGAATTGGCTGTGTTTTTGATACAAAACACAAAAATACTACTAATCAATAAACCAATACAATGAATGGTTTATGGTACATATAGGTAGAGAACATATAGAAATACATTCAGTGCTACTTATTTGTACACATCTCGTTTAAAATATTTTCAGTGACTTTATGAAAAATTTAAATGGCCGAGCATATAAAACTTTCTTGTTTGGGAGTCCATGCAAAATGAATATATATATATTTTTTTTTTACTATACTATACACAATACATGTCAAAACTAATGGTTTATGGCACTTTGGGTGTCTTGTATTGTGAAACTGAATTTGTCATTTTTTTAAAGTAGATTGTAATGGTACTGGCTTATCACTGTAAATTAAAAATAAAACAAATATTTTTGAATAATTTATTTTTTTTGAATGGAAAATGACTTGATATAAACCAGTGGAGCAGTTTCCTTAGATGTTGTATACATTATCTAAGAGCCAGACAAGTTCTTTAGTTAAAGATTTAAAAGCTATTAGATTGTATTAAAAATACAATGTGAAATTAAACTAATCAATGAATGGTCAATTCACTGATAGTCAATTCTGCACAGAACCAAACTTTAGCTATGAATTATTTTAGGATTTATTTTCTAAAATACTGCTTAACAATGCATTAAATTTAATCAGAATTCAATGAAACTGGTGTATGGGCATGTTGCTTTGCATAGCTTTTGTTTCTTTTAAGTTCTCATGTCAACTTTTACCTGGACTAGACTTGTCATTGGCCTATGCAAAGTTACTTAAATCCTGCTTTGTCTGGGTTAACTCAACAAGCCTTTTTTATAATGGAGGTATTGAATGTCAAGTGTACAACAATGGTCCTTAGATAGTATACAACTAATAAAGTGTATATATATTTTTGTCTCTACTTGGGCTGAAAAGATTTCCATTTTCAGCTTCACATTACAGAGCCCCAACAGATCTCTACAGCCCCGCCTAGCTCTCATGTTCAGCTAGTAAAATCCCCATTAATTTTTCCCATAGATTTACATTTAGATTAATATACGTGAGCTACATAAAACCATCTTTAAGACCATCTAAGCTTGCTGGAGGCTAATCAACCAACACACTTTTTTTTTGTTATAAAGATATTTAGTTATATTTAATATTTTGTTCTGTTTTTAGGACTAGATATAAGTGATTCATGGCCATTACTTTGCACATAGCCGGTTAGCCTATGTTGTGCTTGTAAACTGTTTATATTTGCATTTTTAAAAAGGCAATGGGAAAAATAAAAACAGACAATTTACCAGAGCAAACTTCAAGGTGGCAGAGGTTGTTGAGCTTCAAACATCACAAAATATAACTAGTTTAACTGTGTTCCCAGATCTTGCATTGTAGCGATGAGCGGTTCTTTGTCTTCATTCACATTTTGTTGCCTACATAGTCAGGGTTGTAGGCTGGCTGGGATAAGAAGTCCATTTGTGGAGCATTGGGTTGAGGTTGCGGTGGGTGGGACGGAGAGGGGCCGGGGGGTTGGAGAGGGTACGGCGGCTGCCCTGGGGTGAAGGCTGCCTGGCTGTAGGGCATTGGGGCAGCTGGGTAAGAAGGACCAGCTGGAGAAAAACACAACAATGTCACTCAGAACAGAAAGACAAATGATGAATGAATGAGATATAAGTCTGTTAACTTGCTGAATCAGAATTATTTTTATTTCAATTGTCAGTGAACAGTAGGGCTGAACAATATTTAATTGAGATTTTTTGACAAGCACTGCGATTAATTTTTGCAATTTCTGTTTTAATAATAGAATTTTCCTCAATGTAAAGATTTTAAATGGGTCCAGGAGAAATGACAAAAACAACTGACAATACAAGACAAGTAATACAAGAACCACATTTCTGAACATGTTCAGAAATGCAGAATAGCAGAGATTTTGTGGTTTGTGAAGGATATTATGATAATTATGTTACGGCCCCAGGCCTTGGTTCTAATTTTTTTGGGTGATTTTTGCCAAGTTCTCTTGATTCCTGCTGCAGGAGCCCTGGTCCGTGATTGGTGGGCAGGTCGACGCCCACCTCACCTGCAGCCACCGCCCCCTATTTAAGGAGATTACCAGCACCTGTTCGGGGCTGCTGGCCTTGGTGGCCAGTCTGCCATTTTGTGTTCATATGTGTAGTTTAGTTTAGTTCTGTTTTGTGCCTTTTTTGATTTGGTCACTCGATTCTGTTTGTGGGTTTATGTGGTTTAATTTGGGGAACTTGTGTTTTAGTTTAGTGTGTGTCCCTACGTTTTACCACTAGTTTTTTTTGTAAGCCTGCGTGACCCCTTTTCTGGCACAAAACTCTGTTTATTCTGTTGTTCTGTTTCTTAGTTTAGGTTATTTTCTGTATATTTCAGTCTTTTGTTAATTTACCTTTACATTCCTGTTAATTAAACATTATTTAATTTATTCCATTTTACATCTTGGTTTTATTTTTGTTACTTCCCTCACCCCAAATGAGCTGGGTCGTAACAATTAAATTGCAGCCGTTGCAATTTGCCAACTGTGTCCAAATTGCAATTTTGATTTGATTGCGATTAATGTTGTAGCCCTAGTGAACAAAATGTATATACTAGAAACTACGAACAAACTAGGAACTCGAGGTGAGTATTTCAATTCTAGTTTTAGTTCCCGGTTTTAGTCTAGTAGTTCCTGTCTTTTACCGTTACAATTATTATTTTTAACTTTAGTTCTATATTATGGTTTAAATATGGAACAATTATAATTTTACACCAATTTGAGCTTAGTTGTTTTCAAGAAAAACTCCCGCACACTGTCTCACTCCTGGTTTTCTTTTATTGATACAACGTTATTGATACGTTTCGACCTTGCTCAGGTACCTAAGTTCGCAGGGACCAAAACATCGTATCAATAAAAGAAAACCAGGAGTGTGACAGTCTGAGGGAGTTTCTCTTCACAGCTAAATGCCTCTCCTCCAACGCACCTGTCGCCCAGTCAGATGTGCAGAGTCAACACAGAAATGAACACCAATTTGAGCTCACATTATATGAGCACTTCTTCATATTAGTTAAAGATCTAACATAGCTCTACATTATAAACAGATTTCTACTGTGCCTATCCTTTGCACAAGCCACTGTAATTGAATTTGCCTGTCAAACAAAATTACCCACCAACATAGACAGGACATTGAATCTGATTATTCTAGTTAGTACATTGCCTCCTGTACTCACTTGCTTCCTGATAGGTAGGCGGAGGTCCAGGGACGTAGGGAGCTCCCTGGTAGGGCATCGGCTGTGCCCCATACCCGGGCTGGACGGGTATAGGCTGGTAGGGTGCATACTGGGCCGCTTGATAGGGCTGTGGGGTCGCTGCGGGCTGCTGGGGGTAGCTCTGCGGGGTGGAGCTGATGACTGTGGTGTGAGTGGTGGTGGCAACCACAGCTGCGACAAACAAAGAGGAAAACAACATTAGAAACAAGAAATGTAACTTAAGACAGCGAAGAGAGGAGATTGTAACTCCCAAATGACACCCACAAGTGATACTGGGCGCGGTTATGTGCAAGCTCAATATCTGATTGTTAACACATTTTTGGTAAATGGTAAATGTTTTATATGCTGCTTTTCCACTTTCAAGACACTCTACTTTACATCAAGGAACCGCTCACCAACTCACACACACATTCATACACCAGTGTACGCAGACACTCGGGCCAAAGTGGGTTAAGTGTCTTTCCCAAGGACACAACAACAGCATTCATCTGTGGGAGCTAGAATCACACCACCAACCTGTGGGTCAGTGGATGTGACCATTCAACCAATGATGTTTATGTCAAGAGTGGGATTTGAACTCTATCAACTTTGCTAGGTTATCATAAGACTACTAAAACGGCAAAATCATTCTGATATATTCTGCTTAATCATGGTCCCACTGATCATTCACATCAGATTTTGTGGTTTGTATGTCATCTAATAATTTGAAAGATCCAGAAATCAGATTATAATCAGTTTTTGGTGTGCACGTAAATGTAGGCACTGTTATGTTATGTCAGGCTTAGTAAGCTTGAAGTTCTACTTCCAGATCTTTGTTGTTAATAGTGTCATTAATAGCATCAGTGACAGTGCCTCCACAGTCACTGGCTATTACATGTACAATGTGACAAAGACAAAAATGAATGGAAACATGTTCACGATTGAAAGAGTTAATTGTTTTTTGTCTTCCAAATACAACAGTTACTCTAAAAATCCATTGATTAACTGGCACATATCACCAGGTGCTTTTGGTGATCAGATTTCTTTTGTGGATGTAAACACACACAAATAAATCAGATTTAGTTATTGGGTTATCTGATTATTCTAGTCATCTGATTTTTTTTTTCTAGCTGTGTGAATGTGCCCTGTGTTTAAGATGTTAGTGTAGCAATTAGCCACAGTCTCCATCTTCTCCCCCTGGCACTGAGATGATAACCAGTGTAGAGGGTGTGCAAATTATATTACAATATTCTAGTGATATCTTGACCCATATAACAGTATTATATATGATACAGCACAGCCCTACCCACACAGCCTGCTCAGATTTTATGTTAAGTTAACCCTCAACTACATGTGACAAGTGCAACAGACAAGAGACAAACAGCTTGTCTTGTGCTATTCCAAGACAGTTTAGATGTCTTGGAATAGCACAATTATTCAATCAGCCTAAATAAAACTATATAAGTCATAGTAGTAAAAATATTTTTAAAATGCAATCACTGACATTTTATAAATAGAATGTGTTAAACTGGTAGTAGAAAATATTATGACTTACTATATCACATGTTAATATAATTGCAAAGTAATTCTTAGTTTTCACTTAGTACTGGATTTTTACAACTAGTTAAAGGCCACATAAATCAGAACATGTTATTTGTTCTGATAACTAAACCTGTGAACCTGTGGTTTATCTTTAGCTGATCTTTAAGATTAAGGAAGTTAAAGCTACAAAACACATTGCAGACTAGTGCCTTTTCATTTTGTGCAAGACATACACAGGATATCCAGTTTTACAGCACAAACATTTAAGCTTGTTCGACTGCATTGTTCCTTTCTAATAAAGGCAAAATACTCCATTGCAATTGTACTTCAGTTATTAACCATATTCAGAATATTAAATTTGACTTTTAACTGCCAAATATTTCCTACTAGTTTATTTAAAAAAAAAAAAAAGATCACAAGATTATCTGCCATTTGTGTATATGTGTCCACATGAAATTACTGAATATATATGCACAGGCTGCTATTCTAAGCTTATAAAAACATTTTGATTCAGGTCAAATCATAAATTCAAGAACAATCTGAAGAACACAAATGAAATAGTCATATTTTATATTCCTTAGAAGTAAAAGTATTTCTTTACCAGTTTTCAAGATTTTAAGAATATTTTGTTCAAAACTGTCCCGAGTGAAACAATGTGCTATGTTATGCAAGTCCACTGCAATTTTTACATTTAAACAGATCTTTATGTCAGGGCAAATTATGTGACATTATTAGTAAAGTTAATTGATACAAATATTGTATCGCTAATCATCCAATATATTTGATTGATGTTGATGTAATTTCAACACTGTGGCTTGACACTGAAGGATATCCCTCTCTGATGGGCGTGTTTCTCTGTGTCTGTTTCATTTCCAAATACATGTGCTGCTTTGGGGTCTCAAGGAGGTTGAGGCAATATGGCAGCTTCCTGTCAGTAACGTTCAGTTGTGTGTGTGTGTTTTTTCTTTAAAGTGGTGGAAGCAGTGAGTCACAAATGGGTGGAGTTTGGACATTCTTGGACACAATCCCAAAATGAAGAGCTTCCAATCTGCTGCATACTTTTAGTGTTGTGAACTGTCACAAAGTACGAGACAAAGGCCAATTTCAGAACATGGGAGAGTACCGATTGCTGTGGTTCTAGCAATGCAATACTTTATAGTTCTTGTTGGCCAGTAGACCTTAGGTAGCAAATTATGTGTACTAAATCACAAACCCTTAAAAATACTAAAGGTCACTGAATACAGCCATGACAGTCTTTATAGCCATGACTTTCTTTATAGCAAAATTCTCAGTCTTGTGATAGAGCAGTCCTGCCATCTCCATGCTGATACACAAATCATGAGACTCGGCACAGACAGAACACATATAAGAAATTAGACAAATAGTCAATTTAAAAACTGAAAACATTTGATATCAATATCACATGTAGTTTTAGAACTTACCAAAATGGGGACAAAAATAAGGACAAAAATTGACAAAATTATGCAAATACAACAACTGGAGAAAACTCCACCACAAGGAGCTCATGTACCGCACTTTGTTATTTTTTTACTTTTTCAGCTGTTCTAAAGCCGTACATACTTAGACTTAGACAATACACCTGAAAATGAATACCTGTGGATATTAACAATGTGCCAAAAGGTTTGTGAGCTACGAGTTAGACTTAGTTTTACTTTTAATAATTTTGAGTACGTTATATTCACAGAAAACAACATACTAACATGTTTTATGTTTCACTTTTTTGATGCTCTGAGTCAGTCCCCCCGCACTATCACAACACAATCAGCGTGGATCCCACTTATGAAACTACTGCACATGCATCAGGTTTGTGATACTGTAGTGTACACTTTTGTCTCATGCTTTTGTGTAATTTATAAAGAATTATCATGACATAGGCTTGTGGGCTCAGCATTGGACAGAATCTTACAGCTGACTATAAGGGGGGATCGAATAGGGCCCAGAAGAGATCACGAAATTACTGAGACATGTATAGATGACCTCTAATTGCTCTTCAGGCATGTTTTCGACGAGGGAACAATGATGCTAAAAAAGCTCTAAAAAAACTAGTTGCTTTATACCTTCCTCCTTATGTGAATATAACACAATAAGAACAGCAGGCTGAGCAACTAATTCAAGTCAAGACACAGGCGTCAAATGATGAGCCTCCTGAGTTTAGAGTTACAATTTCCACTTTATTTTGAACTGTGCGTCATGAGGTGTAAAGGCCTACTCTATCTCCAAATGAGGGCTAATGAGGGGTTAGGTACCAGAAAAAACTCCAAGTGTGGTGATTTTGAAATGAACACCTGCTACTTTGTCTGCTGAAGGAATACATTTAAGTGCATGTTTTTTCTTATTACTTGGTTTGGTTGGATAGGATCTGTGGTAAATGTTAGTACATCCGTTTGTGGAAAAAAGTTTTGAAGAACAGTAGACAGGAAGTGGCAGTGAGTACAAAAGAATATATCTACCTATGTCATCAACACTGCATTTTATGTGCAAGGAAGACAAAAGGTGTTTATCACATATTAACACATATCAGCTATGAGTTTTTTTGTGAAATGAGGAGTCTGACCTATCCTTTCATAGGTACCTATATGTAAATAATAATAGGAAGAAGGAAGAAGCAATGAACAGTGAGCTATTTTTGCATAAGGGTTTGGCTCGTTCTGCTTTGGTATGTGTTATATCATGATATTAACTTTAGGAATAACAATAGGTCTTATAAACTATAGTCCAGAAGGTAAGTATATGAGAAGCATCCTAAATTAAACTGCATGAAGGTGGCAAACGCTCCACCAAAAATTATACATAGTGCACCTTTATTTGCACTATTATTTTATTATTCATAAATCAAATTATAATCCCATAATATATGTGTTTAATCTCCCGGGAAAATGTACACGTTTTTAATATGACCCTTGTTTTTGTCACAATATAAAAGTATTAAAAATGTAAAATAAAATAATATAAAATATAAAAATGTACATATATAAATACTCACGCCGTGGTCTGCGACAGGCCTTGTACAGACAGCAGCAGGGGCAGACGCAGCAGAGGATGAAGATCAGAGAAATGAAGACGAAGGCTCCAATCCCCAGTACCATTGGGACTACACTCCCACCACTATGAATAAATGTACTGTGAAAACATGAAAGCAGGGCATTAAGGCTGAGAACTTTTCAGTTTTTGGAGGGCACCTGACCACTAGAGAGGATTGTCATATGCAAGCAATTTGCTGTGTTCTGTGTGCTGCCCATGCCTCCCCTCTGCTTTGTCTATATGTGAAGTTGCTGTGGGTAAAGCTGTTTAAATTAATTAGTAAGTAATGATGAAAACCACTACTCATACTAATTTTTTCTGCTGTTGTGGGCAACTTGCTGCACCTTCAGTCTCTCACAGGATGATACAACTTCCTGCCATTTTTCTACTTTACACAATATCAGTAACAGCAGGATTTTCACATGTTTTGATATACCGCTGAAGAAAATATACAGTAGGCAAGAAACAAATTTATGCAACTCAAACAATAACACTAAAGTAGAATTATCCTAATTTTTTTTCCTAAATGTATAATATGGTTGAAAAACACAAACTGCTCTAAATAAATAGTAGTAGTTAGCTTGTATCTATATCATAGAAGTTTGTTATTCAAGCGCAAATCTAATTGTAGAACAGAAAAATAACTGTTTTCAAGAAAATCTCCCGCACACTGTCTTACTCCTGTTTTTCTTTTATTGGTTCAAAGTTTCGGTCCCAGACCTTCCTCAGATACCTGAAGAAGGCCCGAGGAACCGAAATGCTTGAAAACAGCTAAATGCCTCTGCTCCAATGCACCTGTCGCCCAGTCAGGTGTGCAGAGTCTACAGAGAAATGAGAACAGAAAAATAACAACAAGTTCTCCACCAGTACAAAGAAAAAGTACCCATCAAAAATGCTGACCCCTAAATATTATTGTTCCATCTATTACTTACTGAGTCGTTATAGTAATAATCCTGACAGAGCTAGTACTAACTTTTCTATCTCCATGAAGATGAGCATGTAATGCCACTAGGTCAACTTTACAAGTCAGATCTGTGGAGAGGAGACCCCTCTCAGGTGTATTTCATTGTCTTTTTGATTAATAAAAACACCTGTATTTGAATAGATGCAAGATAGATTTGTAAAATGTTATACTGTGGAACACTGCAGACCTCCATGTGTCCATGGGGACAAGCAAGTAACAAACCCTTTACCAAAAAACCTACAGACTGATACTTTGCAGTTGATGTCATCAACATTCCCTGTTAGTGTGATGCTAACAGTAGGCTCTGCTCTGTCTGAGGCTTTATTCAACTTTAATCTGTGTTTTATTTTAACACAATCTGACCAGAATTAACTGATTACCTGGAGCAGGTGAGCTGGTTTCTGCTGTTTAACAACTCGGTCACACATAACATTATAGTCACAAGCTAGCTAGCATTATCCACACCATTTTTGTTGAAATCAGACCCCTTAACCGGATCATAGATTGATTGCTCGTATTGATCACAGGCTCAAGAAAATGTGTTTTAAATGTGTTTAGATCTTTTTTTCCTGACATTTCAGACAGTCTTAAAACTTTTTGGCAGTGTTTGCTCATGTGTGCATTATGTCCCCATGGTAACTCCTAAACATTCCACTATGTAGATACATGTAGAACACCTCCAGCATGATGTCACCACAAAGTATCAATAGCAGTTAAGTCTAGATTAAAATATTGCATTAGTAATGCTATGACATTGTGGTTAATAAATATATGTATACAACATATTAAAGTTTAAACATACCAGTCATCTTGTCTTTTTTCTGACAGCCTCCAAATGTTATCCTGACAGCAGTATCTGTTAAAGCAGGTGCCACAGCAGAATTGAAAACCGCACAGCTGCCGACTGTGGTATACTCCAGATATGTCCGTGTAACTCTCACAGTCATCATCAAAAAGTGCTGAAAAATAGAGATATTTAGATTTATCACTGTATTTCATATGCTATTCACAGGCTTCCTGTTATATGAAAAAAAAGAAAATACTTTTTCCCCATTCAAAAGATATAATATTTTGTCAAATTTAAATAGTGAATCACTATGGCAGAAGTCTTTCTATCATTCTGAAACCAACAGATATATTTCTACATTATTACATACTAGTGGTTCTAATGACTTTTTTTAAAAAACACAGATAAATCACCATGTTACATTTTATTATTTTGAAAATGCTATATTCACCAAAAACAAGTTTCAATTTTGTTTTTAATGCTCTTAGTCTCCCCTTGCTTCCCTCATGAAGTCACTCCTCCTATCATAACACAATTGGCTACACAATGCATCAGGTGTGTATCATGCTTCTGTTCTGTATATTTATGGAGAATTGTCGTATGGGAGCATGGATGATGTAGGCTTGTGGGCTGAGCATTGCACAGAATCTTACAGCTAACCATAAGGAGGGTTTGTATAGAGAGATCACTAAAATACTCAAACATGCATGGATGACATCTAAAACCTCTTCAAGCATGTTTTTGATGAAGGGACATTATGACATAGGAAGCAAAAAAAAGGAGATTTTGTATAATACCACTCTGTAAGGACTCTAGTTAACTAAAGAAATTCTTGACTGACTACAGACATGTCCTGTGCACCAATTAATTCAGGGCCATGGCATTGCAGCAGGTAAAAAAATCGCAACTATACAAACAACTTTACAGACAAGCAAGGCTATTAGTAAAATTTATCTTTATAAGTCATAAGGTCAAACTGCCACTTCCAAAATTCCAACTAACTCACTCCATGCTAACTAAAAAACTTGATTAATGGACAAAAAACTCGGAAAAAAAATACATTTCACTAAAGCCCACTTTCATTTGCACTGATCAAATCTATTTAACAATGTTTTTGTTCATTTAGTTTGACCACAATGTCCTTCAAAGCTTTGATAACACATCAAATACAACAGCTATTTGAAACTAGATTAGAAGTATGATTAGAATTATTTTTGTTGTTTTAATATAATGTATACATTCATTAAACATGTTGGAATATCTATCAACTTTTATGAAATAGAATAAAAAAGGCATGACTTCTAAAATGTATTTCTATGTCTTACTTATATTTTTTGAAATTACTTGGGGATTGTCTCGTGTCATTAGCAATTTAGGCATGACCCTGCATGAATCATGAGACTATTACTTCATGGATGTAGGCAGGAAAGAGTCTGACACAATATGAGTACGATACAACAGGATCCTGAAATCAGTTAGTAGTATTGTGTTTATTTTATGTTTATATCACTGTGCAATGGAAAATTAGTATGTTACTGCATAATAGTGCAATAAACGACAGACAATATATGAAGTCAAGGATGTTATATTCGCGTTTTAACCACGTAGCTGTAGACGTGATGTTGTAATTTTGGAAGACCACATGACTTTCAACTAAAAATATGTTGAATTTACAGTGAAGGGACCTGATGTTATGGTTTAACTAATGTATGATGACACTATATTGACTTTTGACTAGTGATAACAAAAAGAAAAAAAAAAAAAAAAAAAAATGCCTGGATAGAAATAAAGTATCATGGCATCCTTAGAAATAATACATTTGTCCAGTTTGCTTGTCTACCAGTGTTGCAGCATAGACAGAAAGCATTTTGTATTTTAAAATTTTTAGTTTCGATTCGGTTAAAATGAAACATAAAGATAAACGCTATTAAGATGCCATAGTTAGCTTCTGCGACATCGCCCATTAACACAACACATTTCACCCACAACGTGCAGAAAGTAATCAAAAAACAACCATTAGAGACAACTGATCAAAACTAAATACGTCATTAATGTCAGAAAAAATATACATACCAAATATACAGGGGGTAAAAACGACAACTAAAGCCAGCACAACAAAGCTAGACAAGGCAGACGCCATGGTTGCTTGAGTACGCTGGAGTGGAGGAGGAGTAGGAGGTCCTCTTGGTCTCACCAACGGGAATGGGTGGGCTCTCGAAGATCGTATGTGGAAAGATCGTCTTTACACACTATGGCTCACGTGGTTACATTTCCGCTTTCTGATCTCACGAATCACGTTACTTTATTTATTTATTTATTGTTTGCTTTTGTCACCCCCTGCTGATAATTGAAATAAATAAACATGCAATAAGTAACACTAATAAATAATACAATAAACAAGCATATAAAATAGATATAAATAAATAAACATGAAATAATCTTCAACCACTTTTTAAATACAGTCAATATTAAAGGTTTGTGCAATGGGTATGCCACATGAAATCAATTGACATCCTACTATATAGGTTACTATAGATTGTATATAGATGAGATTTTATATTTTTAGTGCTTATTTTTATATTTTATTTTGACTTGTACAAATACATTTATATAATTATGCCTTATTTGACACCTGTCTCTTGCTATCTTTTTTTGCTACTTACTTAGAATTTATTATTACCATTTATATTTTTTACTCATTGTTATTATATTATATTGTGATGGGAGCTACTGTGTCCAAATATTTTCCCTTGTGGATCAATAAAGGTTATCTAAGTCTAAGTCTAACTAACATTACATGGTCTATTATTTTTCTATATATCACATGTTTCTTGAGGACATTACATTGGCCAACATTCATTTGCTGGAGACTGAGCCTAACCATAATTACCACTAACGTTAACCGAAGAACGTTACCTCCACCCAGGATTGACAAAATCACGCGTGAGTGAGTATGTACATAAGTTATTTTAGTCCCCACAATGTAGTTTCACTTTCTGAAAACACACACAGAGGCCTACATTAGCTTTTTTCATTTAGTAAACCCTACCACACTTTAAATTATTTGTAGATGTGCATTTGAAGTGAGAGTGGATTAGATTATAATAGGCCTAACTCATTTAAAAGCAGTTCACAAAAAAACAGAATGAAGAGTAACTGCTTGTCTATGCATGTTAAATGTCAGCCCGTTATTAAAGGCAGTGTCCAGGGTGCGCCTCTCCGCCTTAATCACAAAGCAGCTCTGAGGCCTTCTGTTAATGAAATAAGAAGGAGAAACAAATAAGAACAATAAACATGGGACAGATATTGGACAATTAAACATGGCATACTGAATAAAGAAAAATGAAGTGGGATGTAATTCACAATTAAAACAGCCTATTTGTTTTTGTTTCACCATTTCACTTTTCTTCTGCAAAACAAATCACATATAATGGCTTTAAAAAAATAATGCAATTCATCATATATGCAATGGATGAATATATGACTTTTATTAATTAATTCCAGTTTTACACTCATGCAATCAATAGCTTTACAACTGAACATGTACGTCTTAAATATATATTGCAAGTTAATGAAGCAAAAGGCAAATGTAGGTTTATTGTGGCAATTTAGACTTTTCTAAGGGACCTGCATGTTGCACGGGTGATACTGCACTGACAAACTATAAATAAAAGTCATGTGAGCGAGTCCTATTCTTATTCTCTTTTGATGTGCACAGGCTATTAATATAACAATTTTAACCTTTTAACCCCCCATATAAGATCATGTACATGGACATAAAATAATTCTAGAAGCCATACAATCAAATAGGTAGTAGCCCCAGTTAGTTACTTTTAAGAATAATCACAGCTGAGTATTACATTTCTTGGTTACTTTAACTATACAAAAGTGGTTACCTTGGCTCATTCCTTTAAGACATAACTATCACCTTTATACAGAGAAACTGCGACACACTACCGTCATAATGTTACTGTTAATCTAAATAAATCGTTATTTACTGAGACATAATTCACAGCTATGACCTCCCCCTGTCCCATATCACTCACTGATGCTTCCCAAAACTAAGTTGCTTATGTATCTATCATTTGATTTACTTTAATTTATGTTTCTATTGTTTTTCCATATATGGTATGAACTTGAAGGTCTGTGTCATGCATTACTAAAAAAAAAAAAAAAAAAAAAAAAAAAAAAAAGAAAGAAATCATAATACTCAACGTTCTTCAACACCAGAGGGCGCCAGACACCAACAAAACACTGTTCACCGTTTAACTGGATTTTTAAGGAGACGCTTCACAAGGGTGACCATCTCGAATTGTACGAAAAGAGGGACGCATCACATGTTGTTTGACGGACTTAGTAAATTTAAGAGCATAGATTTAAATGCAATAACATCATATCATTTTTTTAATCGTAACTCAGAGAGAGATTGGAATAGCAAAGGATGCCAGCATAACCCTGAAAGCCAGTAGACAAAAAGTCAAACATTCTTGAGAAAAATATGTATTATTGTAAAACACGTAACACAAATAAGAGGGACTAAGGTAAGTGATCTTAAACTTGATGGTCACACTTAAAGGTGAACTCCATAACTTTCCTGGAGAAGTGTTTTCCACCTGTTTGTCGATAGTGGTGGTGTTGTTGTTTTGCCTGAAATGTTCCAAAAACGATCCTTACAATCTCCATGGAAACAAACAGTGATGCAATTAGGCATAGATTAAAAAAATAAATAAATAAATTAAAAAAAAAGGAAAGGTGACCCTGCTAAAGGAATGTAGGTGCAATAAAAAAAAAAAAAAAAAAAAAAAAAAAACATAAATTGAATAAGTGTAAGATGTTTGATGCAATATTGTCGAACATTCCTGCGTAGGCGATTAGTAATGACATTTCCATGGGGACCAACAGGTGCTGGTGTAGAAAAAAAGTGACAGTAGACTACACCCATTCCTGCACCTTTAACCTACACCACTGACCTTTACTCTTCGTCTCTTTTGCATTCACGCATACTATACAATGAAGCAGTGCACAAAAATACACAGAATAGCCGTAAAATACAGTTATAAATCGTCATAAATCACAAATGAACTGTCACGTTTTAATATATCTCTGGTCACGAGCCACATAAACTCGAACGACCTTTGATTTGACGTCAGTGGGCTTCGAGGTTCTCGCGAGATTTGCGATGACGGTGTGAACTCATATAAGCGCTTCCCCATCCTCGTCCTTTCGTTCGTCCTCAGTGCAGGATAACGCCACTCGCTTCGTTTTAAGCTCTGTTTTTAAAAAGACACTTTAGTGATCGCCTCTGCCCAGACTGGTGTACTGGTTTACAACACAAGGACTTCGTTTGAACTGTAAGTATCTCCTCCATACATTTATTTCATGGTGATTTCTTGATTTTAGCTAACATTGGCGTGCTAAGCTAGGTCACCGGCTTTGGTAACATCTTTTGGTACCCTTTCTAGGATTTTTCTTAATGAATGAGTTTAGTTAATAGTAATCTGTTTTTTGATATTATAATGTCCATATCAAAAGGTCTGTTAGTTGTTTATTTATAGGTTAAAGTTTATTTTTGACGGATCGTGACTTCTAACAAGGAGAAATAAAATCACAAAGTTATGATTATTAAACATGAAGTATTAATGATCCAGATGTAGAATAACTTAATCAAGCCTTTAACATAAACAGTCATTAAGTTTACACCGTATTATACATTTATTACCGTGAACAGTAATGGTTTAGCTAATATATTGTTTCTGTTTTCCATATGCAGTAAGTTATGACAAGTCATTAGAAATAAAATGTACCGCTATTCTTTTATGATCAATATTTTAGTATTGTGAATCATTTTGACGACTTTGTCTTAGTACTATTGCTAAATGTGACCCATCCGTAATTTTTTCCTCGATGACAAGAAAAAAACGTGAAAGTAAGTCAAGCGTCAAGGTCTGGGAATGTTTAGGGGGGATGGGAACAATGAATCCGTGCGTAATGCGTGCGTAAAGTTTACAATTGCGAAACTTTAATGGTACGATGAATTTACGCTTTTGTTATGATTGGACACCTGTTGCAAGAGCATTTATACAGTACGGTCACGGTGCAGTGTTTGTAGTAGTTGGGGATTGCGTTTCCTTTTAAAAGGCATTTCCGTCTCGTGTCACGTTATGTGGGTTATATACAGGGAAACTGCATGACTGGAGATGAATGGAATTTCGCTTGAACTTTGTGCAGTTTAGTGGTAGTAAAGGCCAGGTCTAATGGATTGCAGTTGTTTGCACTGAGATAAGGTAAAATGTAAATATGAAATGATAATTCTAGAAGTTGAAATTGTTCCAAAATTAACAGCTGTACAGGTTAGAGTTTATTTGTTTTTGCCTTGCCATTTCTTATTGCTTTTTCAACTTCTGTTTGCGCATGATCATTCCTCTTGTGGTATTTATAGAGTAAAGTTGACTTGGGTATCTAATCTTTTTCATATTGGTTTGTGGTTTGTAGCTTGAGTTTGAGCTTGGTCAATATACACCCATTCAGTATATAGTAGGGTTGTCAAAAGTATCTAAATCAGACCGATACTAAAACTAGCATTGAAATGAGATACTCATTTGAGCAAGTGTGAATACTAAAAAAAAAAGTCAAGGACAGAAATTAACCTTTCCTGAATAGCTTTAGACTTCATGGTAATGTATTAGGAAGTACTATGATTTAATATTGAAAATCACATTCTATTGCCTAAAGACTGTTTATTTGTTATCATTGTGGTATTGGATTTGATATTGTAACGAGTGTATTTCTAAATTTTAGTATTCTGACAATGTAGACATTGATAAGTATTATGACTATAATTTAGTAAATCTGCTTCACCGTTTAATTTTATATTTTCTTTTAGATATCTAGACAATCAGGAGTGAGAGCTCATCATGGATGTGATTATTCGTCGGTGTCCGTTCTTGGCTCGTGTGCCTCAGGCCTTTATGCAGCAGCCCAAAAATTCTTTGGTGGTTTACGCCCAAAAATGTCCCATTATGATGGAACTGGCCTCCAAACCCATGGCCCCTCAGATGGCTCGCGCCCTCTGCTCCTCCTCTTCATCCTCACACCAGAGAATGGACAATACTCCAGCTGAAGGTGAGTCTGGTTTTAGTTTTACATTCACTACTATACTACAATATCGGCATATCGTTCAATATATGAAAGATGGAACAAGAATTTTTGGGTATCAATATTTATTGTGGGT